CCCAGACTGTTGGGCTCAGTAAACACTAACACCACACTCTGCTTTCCAGATTGCAGGATTTCCACCCAGAAAGTGAAGCAGCATTCACAAAGAGGTTTGCAACTTGTAGGAATGGTAAAGTTTACAGAACATGGGGCACGCAGTAGGGGCACAGTAAGTGTGTGATGGTTTATTCAGTAAAAAATGGATGTGCCCAAACCCCAAGAGAAGGCTCCTGGCTTATTTCCTTCCTAACAAACTTGGCCTCTAACTCTCAGAAAATCATGGATGACTGTGATTCTTGCCAACCTCAACCATGGCATTGTGCCAACTTCTGGTAGTAAAGGAGGACTTGGTATTTTTTCTTTAGTTTTTAAACAACCAATTCAATCAGAGAAAAGGCAATCTTGCAAACTAGGACTTTTTAATGGCTCTTATAGATTCCATAGTCTACTTTATGGATACTTATAAAATATTGCAAAGTCCCAGCTCCCCAGAGAGCAGCCCCAGGTGCTTCTGAAGTTGTTCCTAAATCTTGAAGCCTCCAGAGGTCTCCTGTCCTGAGGAGAGAGAGCTGGGCGTGGCTTCCTTCCAAGACTGGAAATGGCTTCCTTCCAAGCCCGGAAACAGCTTCCTTGAATGACTGAAACGTGGGCTGTTCCTCTCCCCGGAGAGAAGTTACCAGACTATTCCAGCAGCATTACTCCTCCAATCAGGCTAGCCAAGAAACGGAAGGGCAGAACCTAGCACACTTTCCGACACTGCTCATGGTTCAAAAAGTCACACTAATGAAGGGGAGTTGAAATTTTTTTTTATGAAACAGCATCATTTTACCTGCAGAGAACTGGGCTCAACACTGAGAGAGAGAGAGAGAAGGAAAAACACAACACTTGAACGGAAACCAGGATCGATTTTACTCCTTTCCATTTGACTGTCATGTCAGAGAGCAGTGAAATTTTATCATTCGCTTTTTCTCAGGTTTTGGTTGAATTTGTTTTTATCCTTGTACATTACCTCTTTGACCAAATGCTTCTTATGCCTGGAGTGCTCCGTTTTTTTTTATGTGGGGGGCAAAAAGCATGACACCTTTTCACTGAGTGTTAAAAAAATGTTCACACTCGAAGTGAAAGCCAAGCTATTTTAAATGAAGCACTCATGAATGCATATGTGTTTCCAAATAGCAAAGGAACTGAGAAGAAAACAGCCGTACACAACTGACAAAGGAAGCTGGGTCCATTTGCGTAAAACACGGAACATGATCGAATCCCCCTAACCCCATCCTGAGAGTGGCATCACGCGGATTGGCCATTATTGTTGGCTAAACAGGATAACTGTCCAGTCAAAACAGTGGGCTACAGAGTATAAAACACAGAAAAACTTTTGTTGTAGCACTCGGGTGGGCGGGGGGAGGGGTGGGGGCTAGAGGTATTTTCTGACCTGAGTATTCAGTGGAGACGCATTCCTTAAATTCCTTGGCCAGTGGTAACAGCCCTCTTTCCTGGGTGGTGACGCCCTAACCAGGATGATAAAGCCTTATCCTCGCTGGTCTGACAGCCATTTCCACACCCACCAGAACCTGTTTCCAACTTAATGATCTTCAGCCTCACTGAATGCTTCCTCAGTGTACTCCCCCGCCCCCGGAAATGGGCCCCAGGCCTGCCCTTGCTAGTTTAACTCCCTTCTCTCTGGAAGGCTAGGAAAGAAAACCACTGAATGGACAGGTCATTTTAAACCATGTTTTCCTCCTGTCCTGAAGAAAACAAAGTAAAAATGTGAAAATAGCAACTCAGCCTGTATTAATTTCCCTGCACTTTCTTCCCTTTATTGATTGTACCTTGACATCCAAGCTGAAACATGACAACACAACAAACCAAAACAAGCAAACAAACAAGAAAAACCACCACCACAACAACAGAAAAAAACCAACAGGAGAGACACAAAGTCCATTTCTCAACCCTTCACTCTCAGCCACAACAGTTATTTGTCAGAGTTCCTCATCCTCCCAGGGAACTAGCAGACTGATGCCCTCTGAGGTTCCGTCAACAATTCCAGTTCCTGGAAAGTCAGAGGGTCAAAATTTATGTTCTCAAGGTAACTCCATGGGAAATAAAGACTTCCTTAGTTCAGTACCTATGACAATATATTTTCTCATTATAAATATCACCAATTGGACCTAAAATTGTTGAGAAAGGCTTCTGCCCTTGAATGAATTTTAAACGTACTTTCTAGTTTACTGGAAATTGCTGGCATCATGGATCCTTCTGAATATATTCTCCCATTCTCATTCCCTCTCTCTCTCTCTCTCTCTCTTTCTCTCTCTCTCTCTCTCTCTCTCTCTCTCTCTCTCTCTCTCACACACACACACACACACACACACACACACAAACACACACACTTTATTAAGTTGAACAATGTCTTCTGAAGCCAAATGCCAAGTATACTTAGACAGAGACCCTATAATCCCTAGAGAAGGATCACTTCAGTCACAAAGAAAAGCAAGATGTAACTACATCTTTATTTCAGAACAAATGCTGACAAAATAAGGACTGTCACTAAGGGTTTTCTTTCTTCACAAGGCGCCGCTTTCTGCAGGTGACCTACCTTCGTCTTCACACCAGGTCTCTCACGTCTTTCCTGGAGGTGAGGTCTTCCTGTAGCCCTTCCTCTGCACAAAACGGCAACACTCCTTCCAGCCTTTTCTCATCACAGAGCGAGAATCTCTTGCTTACCTTCATGAAGGCCTCGTGCTCACTGCCTCGGGCTCCCCGAGTTTAAAATAGGGAGGATAATGAGAGTACTTGGACTCCGGGGTCACTGCAAAGAAAACGCCCTGCCCCGGCATGTACTGAGGTAGTAAGAATCACCTGGGGGATTTGTTACACCTGTCGGAAGCCTAGCAGGTAATTCTGATGCAGGTGGTCTGTGGGTTTTACTTGAAGACAGAGCTTCGTAAACTGTACTGTGCCTGAGAACCATGGGGATGGGAGGGGCAGAAGATCTTGTTAAAGATATAGATTCTGACTCAGTAGGTCTGGGGTGAGTCTAAACCCCACCTGGGTTTCTAACGAGCCCCCATGATATGGACGCTACTGGTCCACAGGCCACACTGTGTGATGGTAGGTCTCTCCATTCAAAGTGTGATACCCAGGCCGGCAACACTGACACCATCTGGGGACTTGTTAAAAATGCACACGGGGCTTCCCTGGTGGCGCAGTGGTTGAGAGTCCGCCTGCCGATGCAGGGGATGCAGGTTCGTGCCCCGGTCCTGGAAGATCCCACATGCCGCGGATCGGCTGGGCCCGTGAGCCATGGCCGCTGGGCCTGCGCGGCCGGAGCCTGTGCTCCACAACGGGAGAGGCCACAACAGTGAGAGGCCCGCGTACCGCAA